TTAGTGGTGAGGTGTTAACCTATCAGAAAATTATAATGAGTTTTCATTTACAAAATGAAAATACTCCTGCTGCCAAACCAATCCATACTGAATTTAAATGTACACATTATATACAAACAAAAGGTGCCCTTACCTTTAACGTGCTTTTAGGAAATCATAGGATTTTTTTCCCCAAAAATTCCTTTACTTGTTAATCGGTATTATAGTATTTTGTGGGTTTAGTCCTTTTCTGCCAACTATTTTTCTTTTTTAGTCTGTCTAGCAGTATTCCATAATGTAATAATACTTTATGGGGAGAAGCCCCAGATGCAGGGTTTTAAATGTGGGGGTGACTCCTGGGATGTACAGTACCATCTGAACCCGCTGCCATTGGTTATAAGAGGCAAGGTCACAGTTGGGAGAGCAGGCATTGGTCACCAGACCTGTGATAGACATTTTCTCTGACTTTACCCTGTCAAACATTACAGGACACTGACTGCAGGGGTAGTGGAGCCTCAGTCACAAAATAGAGAGATATTTGTCAGAGCCTAATCCTGTAAAGGGAGACATTTTTGGAAGGATGATGATGAAGGCATTTATTCACTGAAGCATGTCAACAGACATAGAGACTGAAGGCTTTTAGACAAACCAGTATTCCAAGTTTGACCTCCTGACCATGGTGCAAGGAGGCACAAACACAGCTGTCACCACAGTACGCTTTAGCATGAGCTCAAAGTAGAGGAGGGAGAAGTTACTGTTACCGCAAGGTTTTTGCTTTATTAGTATAGGCAAAACCTGTGTATAATTGACTTTTCCTCCACATACCCAGGATGACAGGTATAATTGTTTTTCAGTCATTTAATCATACACAAACGTATTGGACAAATTATTTTGATTGACTGGTGCTGGATGAAAATTCAGGGAATTACATTATTACAGTGTCTCCTATAGGGGCATAAATATTTGTACCAAATGTCTGGTAATCATCTTATAGCTGTGGTAACTTTCTTTTAAAAACTGAGCAATCTCATGGTGACACAAAAAGTCAGGGGATTACCAAAGTGAGGAGGAATCTGCTGGGAGTTTAAGCAATCCATTTAATAGCTGTGGAGATATTTCTGTCTGGACCAAAGTGGCGGACCGTAAAAACTGATACTGGTGCCAAACAAGCTGATATGGTATATAGAAAGAATTACTGTTCAGCTGGCCTCAGGTGGTCTCTCACCGAGTACAGGAACTCAAGATGGCTGGAAAAAACTGCAGGCAGTAAGTGCTAGGCAGACAGAGAGTTACAGGCAGAGTGCAAGACTAATCAGTTTTAGGGTAAACAAAACAGGAGACAGCTAGACAGCATTCCCTGCAACAAGCACGACAATCTGGCAGGAAAGAAATTGGAGGAGGCAGATTATACAGGCAGGTAACAAGGAAATTTCACTCTGCTGCACCCAGAATCACACACTGAGAGAAAACAGACATGGGATACAATTTGGTGCAAGCCATAGATGATCCCTGAGGTCATCCCTCTCTTCGCCTCTAAACTCGCAGAAGGTAAAAACGGCACATCTGATTACTACAAAATCTGAAATTAACCAGTAACACTTGCTGGGAAACAGATCCATTAAAGCATTATTATTACTGTGAGTAATTCTTACTCTACAACTCCTATTTTACTCTATTGTATAAATCATATTTATTTATATATGTATTTTATACTGTAATGTGTTTCTTCAAGTACTGTGAATTGCCCTTTTGTGGAAAGGCACTATACAAATAAACCTGCCTGCTTTCATCATATTTACAACCCACTACAGGCCAATCCTTGAAAAGTATCAAGTCAAATATGAACAGCAGTGCATTGGTAAGTGCGTTAAGGAAGCTTTCTTGTTTGTGAAGCAATAGGATTGGACCGATCAGCTTTGGTTTACAAAGAGCTTGTAGCAGGAGGACAACTACAGGCACAGGTAGAGTAGTTCAGACATTTGCATTTCTTAGGGAAGCATGAAACTACTCCAAAGTACAAACATTATTCTATGCAATCCATCATGTAGGCATATTATCAAATTAAATTAATTCCAAAGAATATAATAAATTGTACTGAGAACCTAATGGGAATTTTGTTTGTACAAATGAAACTCAGCTTGTATTTGTGCAGCATAAACAAAGCAGGAAGATATGAAGGGAACAGGGGGAGGGACAGTGCTGACAGCATTCCTGTGAAAAGTAGAGGAGAGAATGATAAAAGCCAATACAATAAAGGGGACAAGGAAGAACTGCTCAGCAGGCTGTGAATAAGCGAAGATGAGGAATTATGAGATATGTGTTTCCTTGGAATTCTACAGGAGAGGTAGTGCTATAATTTTTTATCTCATACCTTATTAGAAGGAGGTGAATCTAGGAGCAGCCTATAAAAATAGTTTAGATAAAAAGAGTTTGAATTACATTTGGGTAATTAGAAATAAGTAGGGTTTTTTTTATGAAACTCTTTACTTCTAACTGTTAAATAGAAATATTTAGTGTCTTGAAGAATGAAAAATGACATTCAGGTTTTCTCTTTCATTTGCTAAATGTATGCAGTATAATTTTTTGTCACTGTATTGCAGCCATGAGGCTTCTCTGTTTGCTACAGCTGGTCAGTTTGGCTGTTTGTAGCACCTCCAGGTCAAGAGACTGGGCTCATCACGGTGCCCCCATGTTTGCTGACCTTACAGTTCGTGAGATGAAAGCTGTCCGGGCTTACCTACATGATATTCCCGAACTGGAGCTCACTGATGCCCGTAGCAAGACTTTGAGAAAGAACAGTATCCTTCTGATAGAACTCCATCTGCCAAGGAAGCCTGAAGCCCTGAGAGCTCTGGATCGTGGACAGGCCAAACCCCCGCGTCAAGCCCGTGTGATCATCCAGTTTGGGAACCAGACTAAGCCCAACATCACTGAGTATATTGTCAGTCCTCTGCCATCCCCAAAATCTCATGAGGTCAAGACCTTCAAGGGGAATAGACCTGTCCGCTTTCAGTCGAGGCCTATTACTGCTGCAGAGTATGAACATCTCACTGGCATGCTGATGAAGATCACAACTACAGCTCACAAGCTTCTGTCTGAGACCACAGGAGGGTTCTCCTTCACTAACTGCTCTGACCGCTGCCTGACGTTCTCTGACATAGCCCCCCGTGGATTGAGCTCAGGTGAGAGGAGAACCTGGATCATGTTGCAGAAGTTTGTGGAGGGTTATTTCCTGCACCCAGTTGGGTTTGAGGTACTGATCAACCATGAGTCCCTGGATCCAGAAAATTGGACTGTTGAGAAGGTATGGTACAACAGCATGTACTTTGACAGTGTTGAGGAACTGGTAGAAAAATATGAATCAGGTGGTGTGGAGAAGGTCAAACTGCCTAAGCATGACGACAATGACCTCTACTCCACCTATAACCCCAGGGGTCACAGCAACACACCCACTAATATTCATGGACCAAAGCTTGTGGAACCTCAGGGGCCTCGCTATCACATCGACCGCAACTTTGTTGAATATGCTGGATGGTCTTTTGCCTTCCGAGTGCGTTCATCAGCTGGGCTTCAAGTCTTTGACCTCCGTTTTAATGGTGAAAGAATTGCCTATGAGATCAGCCTCCAAGAAGCTATCGCCTTTTATGCTGGTGATACTCCTGCTGCCATGCAAACAAAATATATGGATGCTGGCTGGGCAATGGGCATCTCATCCTTCGAGCTGGCGCCTGGAATCGACTGTCCAGAAATTGCTACCTTTGTTGATCTTTACCACTACTATGACACAGACAAACCTGTGCACTATAAAAATGCACTCTGTATTTTTGAGATGACCACTGCTATGCCACTGAGAAGGCATTTCAATTCCAACTTCAAGGGAGGATACAACTTCTATGGGGGACTGGAAAGCACTGTGCTGGTGATGCGGACGACTTCAACGGTTTACAACTATGATTACTTATGGGACTTTCTTTTTTACCCAAACGGGGTGGTGGAGGTAAAGGTTAGCGCCACTGGATACATACATGCCACTTTTTTTACACCTAACGGACTTCATTATGGCAACAAGGTGTACAATTATGTGCTGGGTAACCTGCATACACACCTTGTCCATTATAAAGTGGACCTTGATATTTCTGGTGAGTATTACAGTACAATCACATATTTATATATTTTTTAGGTCCTTTTTAAAGCAGCAACTCTTCTATTCACTTTTGACTGTCTGTACTTAAAATAAACAATACTGAAAATCAGATGAAAACCCAGCCCATTTTCTATCATTTAAAGACATTCTAGAAGATTTTTTTGCACCTTGCAGTTTTTTGGTTCACCATATAGTGTGCCTTCACATCCTGTCATAGTTCTAAAGTTAACATTTGCTATTATTTAACTATAACCACAATCTTTTCCCACCCTTAACCAAGTGTTTTAAAGGCCTAACCCAACCCTATTCATACCTTCACCATCATTTTTTGACATCTTTTTTTTGTCTTGTCCCATGCCATCTCATGGTATGAGACAGTACATGTATCATGCACAAATACTGAAGAAAGTGAGAATATATTAAAGCAATAATATGTAACATTTTCTATATATTATAATGAATATTTTCCTTGTAGAAATATGCTCCAACATTTGTCCTAGTGTGGAGAGGTGCTGTTGAAGCCTCCTGTGGCCCAATTTTGCTTCATTGATTGTAATTTCATAAGAACAAATATTTGAAGAGCTGGGCAGCAGATCACAGTGCAGCAGAGTGGAGCAGGGAGAGTGAGTGCTGGGCGGAGCAGAGTAGATTGATTTGGAGTTTTATGCTAGTGCTACCTTAAGCTGCACATTGTAGTTTTAATGTCAACACTGGTTAGAGAAAAAAAAAACTACAAGAAGATAATGACTTATCATTGTATCTCCACTGTGTGTGTGTTTTAAGAAAAAAATGAACGTATGCATATTGTAATATATCTCAACAGACTGCTTACATGATCATTCTTTAACTTCACTGTTACACAGGTCGAGAGAACAGCTTTGAGACAATGGATCTGAAATTTGTCAACTTCACAAATCCCTGGAGTCCAAACCATACCATCATTCAGTCCAAACTCCACAGGACAGAGCACAAGACTGAGCGATCTGCTGCTTTCCAGTTTGGCAAAAAGTTCCCCCGCTATTTGCACTTTTACAACCCCAATGAGAAAAATAAATGGGGGCACCAGAAGGGTTACCGTATTCAGTACAACTCGCATGCCCACAGTGTCCTTCCAAAAAGCTGGAAAGAGGAAAAAGGCATCAGTTGGTCAAGGTAATATTTTCCCTTTACAGTACATTGCTAAAAAAAATTAATATGATATAGTTTTAACTTGGGTAAAATATTCAAACCCAATATATCATGCTTTTATGGTTGCCATTATTTCAGATGTCTTATCTTATGCACAATTCCTCCAAATTCAGTAATATCGGATATCTTTGAACAATCTGGGATTTTCTGTACAACTTAACATGTGTGTGTGTGTGTGTTGGGGGGGGGGGGGGGGGACAAGAGCCAAACCCAGCCAGCTGCGGGCAAGAGGCGGGGTACACCCTGGACAGGTTGCCAGCCCATCGCAGCATCAAAAGCTAAATGTAACATTTTTTTCAGACCTTTTTAAGACCTATTTCATATCAATACTAGCAAAAAGTATGAAGAATATGAAACAGAACTTCAGCAGACAGTCAGGAATGCAGAAAAGGTCATTGGTGTGAGCCTGCCCTCCATGGAGGACCTATACACCGCACGGGTCAAAAGGAGGGCGGAGAGGATCACTACAGACCCCTCACACCCCGGATACAATCTGTTTGAACTCCTCCCCCCTGGACAGCGTTACAGGTCACTGTGCACCAAGACAACCAGGGACAGGGACAGTTTCTTCCCCCTGGCTGTCACTCTGATGAACACTTAACCAATGACCATATGATTGGACAATAAACCTCAGTGCAATACCTGTGTATATATACATTGTACAGATTATACAGACTCATACAGGTCTCTAGTTCTTAAGTACTCTGTTTTATCCCTATTTACCTCATTTCAATGAACATTCCTTTGTTGTCTGTTTTGTTTACTGTCTGTTTATACTGCTTATTCTGCATTGTTTGCACTGTTTGTTGATGTTGATGTTAATACTGCTATTTTGTTATATTACACAGCCTTATGCTGGTTTGCTGTTTTGCACATTGAGAGCCGATGTACCAGAGTCAAATTCCTCGTGTCTGTCACACCTGGCCAATAAAGCAGATTCTGATTCTGAGAATGATATATAGTATCAGCACTTCAATTTAGATCCATTCACTGTATGTAGGTCACTTACCAGAGCTATAGGAGTTGGGTTGTGCTGGGGCCAGGCCTTGGTTGGATGTTAATATAGAACAATGCTGTTTGATGGCAGACATTTACTAGACACCTTTCACAGGGATTTAGCATTTTTCTGACTTCTCATGCAACTCCAGTGCCTTTGTACCCAAAGTTCCTAATTTTATTATTTTCTTGCACATAGCGCTGGAGGCTGTTGTTTTTAACTTCCTTAAACCAAACACTGAATGTGCTGTTTTCAGCCCAGGTTAAACTTGTTCTTCCCCATATTAGGTAGATGAAATTAATAAAAAACAATCACTCACTACATTAACACTTGAGGGCAGTTGAGGGAAAAGATGTGAGAAGAAAACAAGATAGGAAATATATATATATATTTTTTTTTGAAAAATGAGACATCCTTTCTGGTGGTTTATTAACAGTTTTACAAACATCTACACAGTGATTAAATATCTAGTTGGGTGATTGGAGTTTTAAACTGATTTTGTTATTTGCATCTTTACTTCACCATAAAACTGTTGTTCTGTGTGATGTTGTAACAGTCCCAGCCACAGATTTCCAATAAAGGGATGTGCTAAGAGACTTATGTGAAGGAAGGATTGGAATGTATGCTCACTCATGGCTCTTCAGAGATATCTCCTTGTGCCTCAGAGTGGCAATAATACATAAGCTTTGGGATGGTGTTTAAGGTGGAACACTGAAATGATTTCTGGCTCCTGTGAGACTGAGTCTTCAAATCAGGATGTACCCACAGTATTGTTTAAATTGGCTTCAGGAAAACCGTTGATGTTCCTATGAGGTCACATTGTTACATGTTGAAATAAGATGACTGGACAGGAAATGAATGTCCTTTTGGATAAGTGTTGTTAAGCTGTATGATTTCTTTATCAGGGAGCTGAATGATATTCTATGTACTATATAAAAACTGATAGAGGGGTGAACTGTCTCTCCTCCAGATATCCTCTGGCTGTGACCCGTCATAAAGATAGTGAAGCCACCAGCAGCAGCATTTACACCCAGAATGACCCCTGGGAACCTGTTGTGTACTTTGAGGACTACATTCGCAACAATGAAGACATAGTCAATCAGGTACAACAACGAACATTAATTCACACACATCTACATTGCCTCTTCATCTCACACACTTCTCATGTCAAGACAGATATGAAATTGATTATTAGTGTTTTTGTTCTCAAAAATAAAAGAGAGCAAACATAATTTCCAAAATTAAGATAAACAAAACTTGTTTCTAATTCATCCCTAGCAATGTGGTCTGTTTCTCAGATGTTGGTGTGTGTGTGTTATGTCGTTATCCCTTCCAACATCATTTTTTAATCAGTTCTCTCATGATAATGGTAACTTATGAATTGTGCATTTTTAAGTAATAAAACTCACCTGTTATGGGTTCTAAACTAAACGTTCAAGCAGAGTTTCATATGACTGAACCCCAATAAATTAATCCAAACTCTGATTGAGATTTTCAATTTAAATAATTGTATATGTCCTTTTGATTAAAATAGATCCGTTTATTTTCAGTTAAACAGTGTTAACTTCTCCTGAAACCACCCTTTATTATGCAATTAAATATCCCATTTCATCAACCTGGTACTTGGATTATATGTGAAGTGCGACTTACTTTCTCACTGATTCTGGCACACCTAGATTGCTCTGTAGGGTTTGGATCATGATATACTCCAAAATGGAATGCTGGCATGCCGCTCAATTTGAGTGGGCCAAAATTTTTCAGCATGAAGCACTTTCTCCTCTGGATTTGTTTACCCACACATCATCATCTGAACAAAGAAACTCAAGTGCATTATCCAGTTACTAAATATTGACTTGGATTATGTCAATATTACTGCTTCCTGCCGCTTGCTGATCATCATGTATCCTTCAGCTTCTCCTTTGTTTTTATTGAATCCACAAGAGTTGCATGAAAGGTGTGGACAACAAAATGTAGGGTCTAATCTAATCTAATTTTATTCCTTCAAAAAAGGATCTCTAGGCTCTTAAATCTCTTGGGTGGTCTTCAAACCAGATCACACAAATTACTGGTGATCTACCCTGTATTATTAGCCCATTTAGTCTATACAACCGTCCCTGGTAGGCTAGTGGTTAAGGAGCAGCACTCTCGCCACTATACCCCAGGTTCGAATCAGGGTTGCGTCAGGAAAGGCATCCGGTGTAAAACACGTGCCAAATGTCAACATCCGAGTTGTCAGTGTGACAATTTGCTGTGGCGACCCCTAAATGGGAAAAGCCGAAAGTGACTTTCTAGTCTACACGACTGGTTGTTTTGCTTGCACTCATAACTTCCAGGTACACTGGAGCTTGGAATAATCACTGTTCTCCTACACAAAACACTCTGAAGTGGAAATGTTACCTTATTCTCTTTCTACTAATATTGAGCAATGTTAAACCTAAACCTGGCCCATATTTAAATTGTTTGCATCCACCCTTGTAATTTTAGTGCTAGATCAGGGATGGATTGTTGTCTACTTCCTAGACTGGACCTGGTGAAAATTTGGCAAAATTATGGTATTTCCATTAATATAAAAATATATTTCATGAAACCATCCTATTATCAGTATCTCTCATTAGACAGTTTGAACTTCGTGACTTGAAATCTGAACTTTTTATCACTGTTGTTAGTTCTTCGGTTAATTTAACGGTGCCACACAAGGAAATCGCTGGGACTATGTGATCAACTCGAGTTCCCGGTCTCCCTAAGTGTCCCTGAGCAAGACACTGAACCCCGAATTGCTCCCGGTGGCTTGACTAACGCCGGTGCGTGGCAGCCTGTCGTCATCGGTGTGTGAATGTTGTGTGTGAATGGGTGAATGGTGTATGATCTCCTGTAAAGCACTTTGGCCAGTGCAACACACTGTGAGAAATATTCATTGATATTGCAGCATCTGTTTTCTCACTGACACACATGCCAGCTGAATACATTCATATGTTGATGAGATGGTGTTTCATGTGATACTTTAAACAGTTTGGTTATCTTTGATAATCAAACATCACTCGTCAGATCAGGCTATATTAAAATAAAATAACACTGCTAAAAATATTTACACTACAAAATGTTTTTCCTGTAGTGACATAACTATAAAGTTGCTTAAATTGTTTGCATCCACCCTTGTAATTTTAGTGCTAGATCAGGGCTGGATTGTTGTCTACTTCCTAAACTGGACCTGGTGAAAATTTGGCAAAATGATGGTATTTCCATTAATATAAAAATATATTTCATGAAACCATCCTATTATCAGTATCTCTCATTAGACAGTTTGAACTTCATGACTTGAAATCTGAATTTTTTATCACTGTTGTTAGTTCTTCGGTTAATTTAACGGTGCCACACAAGGAAATCGCTGGGACTATGTGATCAACTCGATTTCCCGGTCTCCCTAAGTGTCCCTGAGCAAGACACTGAACCCCGAATTGCTCCCGGTGGCTTGACTAACGCCGGTGCGTGGCAGCCTGTCGTCATCGGTGTGTGAATGTTGTGTGTGAATGGGTGAATGGTGTATGATCTCCTGTAAAGCACTTTGGCCAGTGCAACACACTGTGAGAAAAAGCGCTATATAAGATACAGTCCATTTACCATTTACAGACCCACTTTCTCGGGAGTGCTATTGAAAAGCCTAGCCAGACTTTGCAGACATTATAAAATGAATCAAAATTAAAAAAGATAATTATGCAACTTAGGCATATCATGAAAGTTAAGCTGATTGGACACCTCACACATCAATTTGTTTCACATGTTGCATGTTATAACGTGTTATAACGTCAGTGTGTGACTACACATTACATAGCTGCTACAGTATGTAATGTGTAGCCTACTGTTTTTTTATTAAGTTGGAAGAGCTGTATCAGTCTCTATGCCGATGGGGTTGCTGCCATAACAGATAATGGGTCAAAGTGCAACACTCAAATGTGCAAAACATTCACTGCTTCCTTCACAGAGAGACACCAGTAGCAAAGACGCTGACAAATGAGCTTTCAGATGTACTTGGCAGAGCGATGATCACTGTTAATTTCATCATTGCACAGCCATTAAAGACCTGCCTGTTTTCGATTTGATGCAAAGAAATATGAGCAGAAGACCATAGCGAGGTGCTGCACATGGCCACCCGTTGGTCTTCACAAGGGAAGGTTTTGGATTTACTGTACCAGTTAAAAGAAGAAGACTGTTCCTGACAAGAAGGAATTCTGCATATGTGGAATTGGTTGCAGATTCATCATGGTGCACCAAGCTTGCATACTTGGCCAAGTTCAAGTGAACTTGAAAGTTTGAAGTTAGAGACATTCATTCCTGTGACAGATTTGAAAAGCTTTAATAGTTTATCATTGTGACTGTTTAATTAGTGGTGCCTGGTATGTTTTTTCATGACTTTTTGTTGTTTTAGTCAGTCTTGTTATGATCTTGTATATATTTTGTACTTTCACACAAGAGACCTTGATCTTAATGGTTTTTTTCAACTAAATAAAGCTCGATATAAGTGGCTAACTACTGTTTTCTCTCCTGTGTGCAGGACCTGGTCGCTTGGGTGACAGTGGGCTTCCTGCATGTGCCTCACTCAGAAGACATTCCCAACACAGCAACACCTGGCAATGCAGTGGGATTCTTCCTCCGACCTTTCAATTTCTTCGATGAAGACCCATCAGTGGCATCTAGAAGCACAGTCATTGTCCGACCAGGCCAGGATGGAAAACCAAAGGTCCAGAGATGGACACCTGAGGTCATAGGTCACTGTGTGACGAACAAGCCATTTTTTTACAATGGCACTTATGCAGGGATCTAGACGTTTCTTAGTCTCCCAAAACGTATTTTACCATCTTTAAAATGTTTGTTGCATTTAAATAAATCACAGATTGAGGACCTGAGATTAATAACAATCATTTTAAGTACATACTGTACATTGACATTATTATATTCTGTCAAACAATGTGATAGCCTTATATTTTTACCAACTTTAAGGTTTGAAAACATCAAAAATTATTTAAAAAATATGGAAATGGAAAAATGATGGAAAAGTGGATAGTAAGCGGGCTTTTTTTCATAAAGGAAAATGTCCTGTCATAGCTGGTCATATAAAACTTAAAATAATATTTTTGATACAAGTATTTAGTTGCAGACTCATGCTAAACTAGGTGCTCTCCAATCCTGCTTTTTCAAATTAAGAAAAAAACATGGATTTATGATCCAAACAAGATATTGTATAATGTTACTGCGCAAAAATAAACCATGTATGTAACCTAGCAAGGGCAAAAGGGAGGTGGTGTGGGTATGAGATGGTCTTGTGAACTCCAGTAATCCTAAATTTGGTCTCCAGGGCTAAGATTTAGCAAGAGTAAGCATCCAGGATGCAGGATGCTCTGTATCCGCTTTTTGTGGGATAAACCGCAGTACCTCAGCATGCTCTGCTTGACCCGCGGTGGGAATGTTTTTGCTGGAAAGACAACAGGCCTTACAGAGCAAACAGCCTGAGTCTGGATCCTTCCCCACAAACATTGCAGGATGCCGCCTGCTGCGCCGTTACCCCTGGTAACCTAACTTTATTTACCATGTGACAGAATGTAGAGAATACCCAGCAACACATGATACTACTTTGTTGTTTTTGTGTGCATTCCTAACATAGCAATGTTACTTCACAGTTCTCAACCAAAATATGTTATACTGTACTAAATAAATCAAACAGTTGTCCTCATATTGCATGTTATTGGTTTGATTTTGAGTGAAACATTTATGTATTACTCATTGATTAATAAACACAGATCTGCGTTTACCAGCCAACTAAATCTAACTGCAGAGGAGAGTGGTGGATTTGCAGTAGCAAAGTCAATTTGTATGAAAGGTAAATAACAATTTATAGGGAATAGTAGGGAAAAAAGCCCAGCCAACAACTATCATCAGGATTTTCACACATTGTTAAACATTTTTAAAAGTGTGTACCAATGTTTTACAGTACACATCATAAAAGAGGCACAGCCTGAGAACTATGCTTTCATTAGTGAATCAATGGTGTTAGAGGAGGAGGCAAAAAGACTGTGAACTGGGTAACAAGCATTCCCGTAGCTATTCCCATGGCAATGATTGTCTTGATGTCACAATGGCTCCATTTAGACTTGGTATTAAAATGAGCCTGAGACACATCACTGTTCACACCTGTCCATATACATGTGTCTCCAAGATGTCCAATGGGACACTTGTGTGCAGATTTTGCTACTGCTGTGACTCTTTTGCTCAAAAATCGAAAGGCCATGGGCACAATTATTACATCAGTCTGTTATCAAACAAGTACTAGTAGTTTCCCTAACCAAAGAAGAAGAAGAAGAAAAGCATCAAATTTATACATGGATGTATTATGAAAGCTTTCATAATACATTGATGTGGATTGATATATTAGATGTTTCTCTCCATGTTTGTTTGTTTTTTGAGAGTTGGCATGCTCTAACCATCACAACTGTCACATCCTGCACTGATGATGTATTTTCCTCTAACCTCCTTGTTGGGGACATATCAGAATGGATTAGCATTTACACTACAAAATAATGCAGTCAAATGACTGGCATACAGTGTATACAATGGACATATATACGACGGACATAGCATCACTACTTCTCTCCATTACGCAAAAGTGAAGAATGAATATGGTGGCTGCCATCTGGCTTTTTTGCAACCAGACTCTGATCAGTAGTGACCAGAAGTGGAGTGACATCAGACCACCAATCAAAGCTGTCAAATCATCCAAAATACACCTCTTTTTATATCATCAAATAACGAATTAAAAACAAACTTACCAGAAAAAAGTGGCTGTGTGTACACACATCAACGTGACAATATCTACCAAAAATCACATAATGGACCTCTGGGAAATTTTTATTTGATTTGCACTTTGAATTTTTAATGTGGCTCATGTCCCATTTGCTAACATGGAGGAGGCAGGATTTATGATCTATAATGCAACCATCCACTGGGGAAATCACGTTGCAATACCTTCTCTTATGGGAGCCACCACAGCCTCTATATTTTATACAGTTGATGTGTCAAATGCATCACAGACCACCTCGGTGAGTGGCCTCTGTGATCGGATCATAATCTATCTTGTGGTCATTTACACTTGTATTTTGTACAGTCCACTTACCGTACCAGTCCTGCTGGTCTCCGCTCTGCTGCTGACTGGAGGACTGGTGGCTCTTCTGCTTCCCCAAAGCAGGCCATCTGAGCTCACCTGAGTGCTCAGACTCTGCCTCAAATTACTTTACGTTAGTAAGTTACTACAAACATCCTCTGAAAGTCTGTAAAGAAGCAGTCGAGGATTTCTGCCTTTGCAGTATTCTGATTGTGTATCTTCTGTTTGTACCTTCTGTCATCTCTCTGAGCCATTTACTTTACCTCAATTAAAAGGCCAGTAAACACCTAGTTGTCAGAGGATGGCAGGCTGTCATGAAGTGCAATAGTTCCCTCTGGAGTGTAGTGACGGTTTGAAGGACGCATTCAGGAAACTGCTGCCCGTGTTTTAGAGTAATATGCTACAAAAAAGGCCAAAGACGGATTAGTATGACTTGACCTCTTCTTTCTGTCAAAACACTGTTAAGGCTGACATTCTTTCAGGAATTACAGCTGTTAGTTTGAGATTAGACAGTAGTTTAGTCCTGTGGTATGGCAGACTATAAGACAGAAAACACAACAGTATATCTGTGTTTTTTCATTTGTATAATAAACTTGTAATACTTTCAGGAGCATTTTTCGCAACCACACATCAGATGTCACAAACCGTACTTCAAATATTTGCAAGCTGATGCACACCAAATAAGCTGCCGCACATCAAATAAGCTGCCAAACATGATTTATGATTTAGAGAGCAGTTTTTGAAAGCATACCTCTTTTCCATTGGATTTGACATTAAAGCAGAATTTTACATTTTTTATCATGGCTGCACTGCAGTGACTGGAAGCTTCATGTCCGAGTGGATAAATGGTCAACGACACAACAGACCAAAATAAAACCGTCCACTACTGCTCAGTTTTCTATGACCAGGGCTGATGTTTTGCTGCAGTGTACTGCTTTGATGAAACACAACAAAAATAAATACACAGATTAATGCACTAAATATACAAGAACATGCAGTCGCTGGACAACAGGGGTGCCGCATGACCTGAAACCAAAATGAAAGGCATGAAAACAGTGTAGCTAACAACATTATCATAAGCACATATTCAAACATAATATAAAGGTATTCAAATTTCTTCTCATGAACCAAACACACTACCTTTACATAGATTCAAAGGGAAATAAAGTGTATTTGATGTCATCGTTCTGGACTGAGATGATCATGTGCTTCATGGTGATGTCAAGTCAGGTTTTTCAAGAGTTAGGTTTGAAAACAGCAGGATAATGTTTGCCAGGTCAACATTCAGTATCATCACACCCACACCGTACCTTACAGCAACACTGTATGATGCCGTGCATACAATAACATTTATAGATTTTTTTTAAATAAATGCCCCACTTATTGTCACAAACGTGCATTAGGACAGCTTCTGTAGGCAAATGTTAAAATCGCACATTCTGAGGTGAGAATCCTTTTTTCCACATTTATTGTTAGTAACATTTGGTGATTTATTGTGCCAAAATGGAATGACTCAGTTTTAGGTAGCTGCTGTCGTAGGTCATCTTTGCTTATAAATGAAGTCATTCTTCCATTTATTTTCCAAAGGTCAGACTGCTGTAATAATCCAGCAGTGCGGCTGTAGTTCAGTGCTTTGTCCTCACATGCCGATGCTGATGTGTTCATTTAGTCTTAGCCATTGGCAACTGAGCATCTCCACCTAGTAAGGAAGCTCACAAGATGTGGTTGAAAGCTTCGGAAAGTTGTTTTTTTTTTTGTTTTTTTTTTTTGGCCAAATTGCTGTGGCCAAGAATGAACCTTTCTGTTACCCTCACTTGTATAGGGGTTACATTTTATCTAAATGTAAAGGTTTTGAACGTTTAAAAGATGCACACCTCCTTATGCTTTATTTACAATTTTTTGATCCACTAAATCCAATTTAAGAAAGGGAAATGTGCTTAAAAAAAATTTGATTTTTGGATAATAACATGTAAAAAACTTTAAAAGGGAGCAAGAGATTTCTTATCAGGTGTAACATCAGTCATGTCTGATTGTCATAAATATCACCTACAGCTGTGGCACACAGTATTTCTTTCTGAAAGTGGCGGGCTCTTAAAAAAAAAACAAGAAAACATTCTGGAAGTGTCCTCACTGATGCCGTTTACAGGAGAACAGAGAAGATGCTACACATTTGATGAGTCTTGGATGATATGTGAGAGTTGGTTGGAGCGAGAGGGCAAAGGGTGAGCACGGGTGCAGGTTAATGTGATATCCTTCACCAGCACGGTGCCGATCACCATTTTCTCACAGTTGACCCTCAACTGGGCAGCTCCTTCGTCTTTGCTCGCTACGGTGACCAAACACCAAGCTGCCGCTGGTCACTGTCCTACCGGCGAACCTGTGGACAGGATGAGCAGGAGGATACAAACAAAAAACACCTTTTGAGTTTCTGAACCATTATGTACAATAATGAACTAATTCTGTGCAATTATCACACAGGTCTTTTCAACATCCACCAATATGATGTAAAGAAATGTAAAGGAAAGCTTTCTTCAATGGTCCGTTCATGTCCCCTCTCACCCTGGCTGCTGAAATCCTCTCTGACTGCGAGGAAATGTGGAAGGACTCTGCATCTCTGTCGTGCACGCCTACATCAAAAACATTGCCCTGACCGGTGTTATAACCACCACACAATTAAGTATGTGGAAATTCTCAGTCATCCAGGTCCTTGTACTGTATATCCAAAGAGGAAAAATCAGCAACTTGCTGGAGGTTCTTTTGAAAATGTTTCACCTCTGATCCAAGAAGCTTCTATGGTTCTGACTGGCTGGTGGGGAGTCCCAGGGATTTAACTTTGGGGGAGTTAACACC